TTCCAGCTTACCATGTTTCCAACAAGATCTGAGGCTTGCAATGGTTTGAGGGTTGTTATAAGGGTTCCTCACCGTTGCAATGTTTGAACTAATCTACTGTAACTTTCTGTAACTCATCTACTTGGAACGTCTGATGGCAGCTCTCAGGAGAATCGTGACAAAGCCTTGGATGCAGAAGAAATCGCGCAGTTTTTCAGAGAGGAAAGCTCCTGCTCAATACATCCAGTTCGCATCAAAGTCAACAGAAATGGTCCCAGTTTGAGTGACCTCTGGTTCATTCATGTATATTCATGTATATTCGCTATTATTATCTATTATTCGCTTGCAGGCCTTTGATTTGGTGGACTTTACCTGGGACTTTTTGACCCCAAGGCTTGGAACACGTTACGAGCACTTCATGAGCACTTGTTCCGCCGCTTTGTTCTGACCCCTGCGAATTCTTCCGACGCAGTACTGTTCTTCCAACAGTGCTCAGGGTGCCGAACCTGACAAAAACCAACACGAAGGCTGGACACCATTGGAATGGGAAGAGTTGGTAGAAGGATGATGAAGGATGTAGATTGTAGAAGGGCATGCAGCACGTGGCACCCACAAATTGCGTAACAACTATGTAGCCGACAGCCTGCAGAACGTCAGGTAACAAGCATAGTCAGCAGCAATTTGGCACGCAGGTAAGGAAGCAGGAATTCATTGCCACAAACTGGAATCAACTCTTCGCCGACGCAAAGAAGTTGCACCCAGAATGGCCACTCATTTGAGCCAGAAGGAGGCAACATGGAGCTTTTGTAACAACTGTCGGAAGCTTCTTGTGGCTCAGCATTGTGTTCTCCGATTGAAACTCTGTGCGCAGCATTGATTTGCACGCAGCCGTTGAATGCATTTTGATGCAAATGCATGCCGTGATATCTTGAACATAGGAGAAATCCCCGCGCATTCAAGGTTTGCTCGGCATTCCCGTCAGACTTGGATGATGTGACTTGGCTAGTGCCGCCGTGAAACTTAGGAGATTCCAAATGATTCCACAATACCAGAAGCAACGCTCCACAAATACACTGCTGTGCACCGTGCACTGCGATATAATATTTGCGAGTGCTGTGCTATTGCTTCAAAATCAGATTGATCTCGTGGACCCACCCCTTTAGTGTAGGCAACTATGCAAAACTTCCCTTGCAAACCATGATAGTGGCAGATTTGTTCTGGCGAGGTACTCAGAGCACTCTTTCCTCCAGAGTGTCTTGGACAATGTTGCAGCAGTCGGCGCCCGAGATGTCAGAGTCATTCAGAGTCCTGCTCCCTGATGCCATTTGCAAGAGAAACATAGAGAAACAACATTTCCATCACCCTGCCCTATCAGCCCAAGGTCACTGGCTTGTCAGAAACCCTGGTTCGTGAGACTGCGGAGAGCATGCAAGTTCTTGTCTATCCCCCAAATGGGGGGCACTATTCGTGTCATCATGATACAGCGGCTACCTCAGATTTCGGACTGGCCTTGTCTAAGGGCATGCAAGAACAGGAAAGAGGCTTCAGAAGGGTTTCACGATGTTTCAAGTGTGTGTGCTAATGCTGTTCAAGCTTTCAAGACCAAATGCTGAAAATGGATGAAAATGGTGCTGCAGGCCATGTAAAATTGTAAAAGTGCACGCATTTTACTTTTCAAAATGTCCTACCAGACGCTGTCAGCATTTCATCCTACCCGCTTTCCCCTGATAACAGGATAGCATGAGACACATTCAAATACAGCACAATTCCTTGCCCCACATGGTTGCCGGACCTTTTGTTGCTTTTGCCTGTGTCGTTGGAGCTTCTCTTCCTCAATTCCCTTTGTTTTCTGTGATGTATGTTTTGCAATCATGTGAGCGCTTGTTTCTGCTTGTCGGGGCAACAGTCTTCGCCGTTGCTTCCTTGCAGGGCTGCTTGATGATCTTGATGTGACACATTGGCTTTCCGGTGTTTGTAGTCTGTTTGGTAAATACCTGCCATTATTTGGCTCTGCGTCGCATTGTTGGATGAAGCGATATGACCGAAGCTGTTCCTTGTGATGTCAGTCATGTAGAGCTCATGCACATACGCAGTGAAGCTTTTGGATGGACTGTAGATTGAGGGGCCTGAATGAAATTTGGTGCAGCCACTGCTTTTTGGATTTTGATCTAAGGCACCTGACTATCCCGATGACGCCCGCTTCATGACAGTATTTTTTTTTCTGAATGACGTCACTGAGGGAGGTGAAACGGTGCTTTTCGGCACCGACTTGAATGGTACGTATGGAAAAGAGAGGGCGCTTCAGGGAGAGTCTCGCCCAGGAAAGCTAGAGTGCGGACTCGTTCGGATAAGGACGTTACTTGATGTTACTTGTATATCTTGTAGATTTGTTTGGAATTTTTGGCGATGTGTGGTATTCAGATGGCCGGAGACATGGCAGAAAAGCCATCAGGGCCATCAGCTGTGACGTGATTGAAACGATGGTCAAAAACTTCCATGAACACGATTTAACGCAACTTTGTCGCTTTAGAGAGAGATCCCATGCAGACAACAAATGCTTATGGGCCTTTTGGATCCTTTTGGATCTTTGGGCCCTATGGGCGGCTTCAAGGAAGAAGTTTGGGGAGAAATTGAATCTCGATGCCAATCGGTGGCCAGCTGCCCTCGGAATGGCACAATGCCTCCGCCATTTTCTACAGCTTTGGTTCTTTGGCAGATACATGCAGACTAATAGTAAGTTGCTGTGTCTCTGTCCACCACACACCAAGTGTCATTATTCACGTCGCTTCGCGACGGCAACCGCCCGCACCGCATCGTTGGGCAGCCGCTCGTAACTGCCAATGATGTCGGCCATTGAGACCAAACACATCCGAAAGTACTGATTGTCGGAGGAAAAAAACGCGAAGAATTTGATAGCCATGTATAGCGGACCAACGCAGTTCAAAAAATAACGAAAAACATGAAAAAACGGTGAAATTGCTGTTATTTACAGTGTTTTTGCGCGGTGAGAAGCAGAAACCACTGCAAATACCATGGTTTTTGAGGGTCAGGTGGCCAAAAACAGTGTAATTTACAGTGTTTTTTTAACCAACGTCAAAAAACACTGGTATTTACGATGTTTTCATTCACACCGTAACATAAAACAGTGTAATTTACGAGGTTTTTGGAAGTTTTGAAGCTAGCCGTCAAGCATGCAGAAAACAGAAAAACACTGTAAAAACCAGTGTTTCTGCTATCACAAAACAACGAAAATCAGTCCGAAAACGGGTCCAAAAACTCAAAAAAATCCGCCTCCGGGCCCGGCCACCTGCGGAACCGCAAAAAAAGATGTTGCAAACCAAAAAATTGAGGTCAAAAAGTTGAAAAACACGGGGTTTTTTCACTTTTCGCTTGCCGATTTTGGACGGGCGCGTTCACGAACAGGTGTCTTCCGTACTGTTTTTTACTACAGTGTTTTTTGAAGGCGAGCGTCACGACCTATCAAAAACAGGAGGTTTTGGCCGAAAAATGCCACCCCCCCCCGGTAAACCTGTAACCTTTTACGAGTGCCATCCGGAAGATCACGCCCCAGCACCTTCGGTGCGGGCGGACTTTCTCAACTTTCTCAGGTTGGTATTTGTTTGAAAGTCTATTTGTCGCACATTGTATACAGCTATTTGTCACAGCCCACATGCAAAGAGAGACGTGGGCTGCGAGAGTCTGCTATGAGTTTCTTGTCCAGGCAGTGAAACCGCGGAGAGGAACAGCTCTTTTCTGGTACAACATGGCGATAGACTCCAAAGGCGCGCTCTCGCTTGTTTTGCTCCGCTTTCGTCATCCCTTACGCAAGACTCCATGACGAACCACTGCTTGAACTCCTATCCCCAGAGGCCAACCTGGACGTTTTTACTGGTCGAGCATACACGGAGGGTGTCCTACCAGATCAGAAGAGAAATGGGCTGCGAACATTTGGCCGCTTAACGGTTTGGCAAATAATTGCAATGATTTGCTTTTTTTTGCCCTGTCTGTGGTCTTGCGCTGCTTCAGTCCGGTGCTGGGATCTTGGCGCAGGTCAAGCCACATCACATACCACCATGGCCATGCCGATGTGTAGCAGCTAAAGCATCACAGCAGACTTCTCCGTCATCACCGGTGGTGTCCATTGCACGATGCTCAGTACTTGATTCGGATCACAGCTTAGGCTGCACAACACCAGGCAATCGGAAGAAGACTGTGGAGCAGGAACTTTAGCTGTGGAGAAGTAGCGAGACTCTGCAAATCTGGAACCTTGACCTGGAGGAATCAGGCAGGGCTCAGCACATCATAGCATCATCTGACATCCCGTCCATTGTTACTTCCAACTAGTACCAATTAGAGTAAATTCATGTAAATTCCGTGTCAGAAACTATCGAGTCGAATCAGCGTCCCAGAGCAACGTTCGGAATCAACATACATAGGTTCGGATCAGCGTCACAGAATTAGCGTCAAAGACGATCGGGATGGTCGGGACGGTCGGGACGGATTTCTTTAGGATCTTTAGGGTTTCAGGGTTCCTTTAGGGTTTCTTTGTTGGGACTGTTGGGACCATCGGAATGGTCTGGGTAGTCCGCAAGGTTGCTATCTATACCGTCCCGATCCAACCAACGGAGATTCCGATCCGACCCATCTAGACTCCGATCCCTTGACCCCGATCCAACCAACACCAGTATACCAATTAAATCCAATTAATGTTGCATCTTGCGTTTGAATTCGCAGGGCCCCCACATACGCCCTCATGCGCCCAATGTAGGTCTTCAAAACTGAGTCATTACATGCTTTACCTTTAAGACCTTTAAGAAGTTAAAGAAGGGAGGGCAATTTTTTGTTTTTGTTTTCCAGCCTGGCTTTGTGGCTTTTGTGGCTTCTCTGGCTTTTGTGGGTGTGTGGCTTTTGTGGTTTTACCGTGCTTTACCTATCGAATCTAACCTAACCTAATCTAGTCTAATCTTATCTTATTTTATCTTATCTTATCTATCGAATCTATCTACTATATATATAATCTATCTAAACTATCTATCTAATCTTTGTGGGCATATATGTATATGGCATACGGCACATTAATGTATCTAATCTATTTATCTATACGTTTGTCTGTCTATCTATCGATCCATCCATCCAATCTATCTATGTGTACATAAAACCAACTAAACCCAAAACAGTCAACAAATGGTTCGCCACGTCACATGGATGTACAGAATGGTGCGGAAATGACCCCGTGCTTCAGGGAAGATCACTCTTTTATAAATTTGAGATGCAAACAGGAGAGCGTATTGCCAACCAACTGAATTCAATGACCTGAGACCAAAAAGAACATCCAGCACTTAGAAGTCCCGAACCCAGCAACAAAGGCACCCAAGCGGGCCAGGGGATTGAGCAGAACGTGATCCACAACACTGTGTTATTTTCCACTATTTTCCCCTGTTGGGTCAGATTCATCGTTTTCTGGCTCGTTCAGATTGACTCAGACAGCAGTTTGGACAGGCAAGCTTCTGAGAAGATGCCCTCATTCATAGCAAAACAAGATGGAAGCCACGAACCCGAATGTATTCACGTTCTTGGACTACGAGTGAAAACCTCTGCAATAGGAAAACAAACTTTTTTTTCATGCATCGTGCGCGCATATCGTCTCAGCGAAGGCGCTTGGTCAACGCAGTAGTGCAAGCTTTGTGCAAACTTTGTAGTGCACAGTAGTACTGGGAAGTGCTTTCTGCAAGCTTTGTAGTACAAAGTAGTACTGGGAAGTGCTTTCTGCAAGCTTTGTAGTACAAAGTAGTACTGGGAAGTGCTTTCTGCAAGCTTTGTAGTACAAAGTAGTACTGGGAAGTACTTTGTGCAAGCTGTGTAGTACAAAGTAGTACTGGGAAGTGCTTTGTGCAAGCTGTGTAGTACACAGTAGTGCTGGGAAGTGCTTTCTGCAAGCTTTGTAGTACAAAGTAGTACTGGGAAGTGCTTTCTGCAAGCTTTGTAGTACAAAGTAGTACTGGGAAGTGCTTTCTGCAAGCTTTGTAGTACAAAGTAGTACTGGGAAGTACTTTGTGCAAGCTGTGTAGTACAAAGTAGTACTGGGAAGTGCTTTGTGCAAGCTGTGTAGTACACAGTAGTGCTGGGAAGTGCTTTGTGCAAGCTGTGTAGTACAAAGTAGTACTGGAGCGGCTTTGTGCAAGCTGTGTAGTACAAAGTAGTACTGGGAACGGCTTTGTGCAAGCTGTGTAGTACAACGTAGTACTGGGAACGACTTTGTGCAAGCTTTGTAGTACACAGTAGTACTGGGAGCGACTTTGTGCAAGCTGTGTAGTACAAAGTAGTACTGGGAAGTGCTTTGTGCAAGCTGTGTAGTACACAGTAGTGCTGGGAAGTGCTTTGTGCAAGCTGTGTAGTACAAAGTAGTACTGGAGCGGCTTTGTGCAAGCTGTGTAGTACAAAGTAGTACTGGGAACGGCTTTGTGCAAGCTTTGTAGTACAAAGTAGTACTGGAGCGACTTTGTGCAAGCTGTGTAGTACAACGTAGTACTGGGAACGACTTTGTGCAAGCTTTGTAGTACAAAGTAGTACTGGGAAGTTTTGTGCAAGCTTTGTAGTACACAGTATTGCTGGGAAGTGCTTTGTGCAAGCTGTGTAGTACAAAGTAGTACTGGAGCGACTTTGTGCAAGCTGTGTAGTGCAAAGTAGTACTGGGAAGTACTTTGTGCAAGCTTTGCAGTACAAAGTAGTACTGGGAAGTGCTTTGCACCACGCCTGCCATGCAAAACGGCATGACAACCTGCTTGGAAACCTTCGAAAGGGAGAGGTTTTGCAGCTTCCCCCATAGACACGGCGACGCCAAACGAGCATTTCGTGCGAGACTTCCTCCAATTTTGATACTTTCGACACGTTATCAAACAGGTTGGAATGTCACAAAGTGCAACGCCTGCCACGCAAAACGACATGACAACCTGCGTGGAAACGTTCAAAAAGCAGAGGTTTTGCAGCTTCCCCCATAGACACGGAATTAACGACGCGACGACGACGCGACGACAACGCGACGGCGACGAGCCACGGAAGGCGAACAAGGGTCTAGCCCCCAGACCCCCAGACTATAAACGGGAACCCTTCGCTATGCATTCGGGAAAAAAGATAAAAAAGGTACAGCAGGCCAAACATGTGATGAATTCTAAAGGAGTAAGCGCACCCACGAATCTGAGGAAATATAAACCATAGCGTGGAACCAACACAGCTCCTCTAGCCGACTCTAGCCTCCTGCCAATGCAATTAAACTTCTGTCATGTAACAAAGCCCATCAGAGGCCAACCACTTTTCAATCCGTTCATTTGTCCATTTGCTTGTTCCAGGCCACAGGATGAACGAAGATTGGCAGGGTAACCAGCAGGGTTTTGCAGTTTTTTTCCTTCAGAAGTCAGCCACGGACCGGGACTTGCTTCATGGCGCTGAACATCTCGACAAAGAGACCGGGCCAGTCACCACCCGATGCACGATCAGAGCATGGCAAGCGGTCAGGGAAGAAAACCGCTGCAGTGACTCCCTGTAGTAGATTGTAGATGATCATAGTAGTTACTGTATTAGTTAGTGGTTGGTTGACAGTTTTGCTCAATCAATCGTGCTTTGTCTCACAAAGTTTACAGGGCTGTACTGTACTGCAATATCTTTTCAAACTCTCTAGACTCTAAACCGTTGTTTCATGCTGCGTCCAGATCCCTTGCAAACATGCACGCTGATGGCTCAATTTGTGTTCTGCAGCTTTTGAGAGTTGGCCTGAGATGGCGCCATAGCTGACATAGGCTTGTACAGATCTTGTACTTTGTAGCTGCCGACAGCTGTGCCGCATGCAGAACTGCCAAAGTAGCAGGATAGCACGAATAGCACGTGACTTGGAAGCATGATGAAATGTGATGAAACATGATGAAACATGCTACGATTGCTACGTGCTTGTCAACTTGGTCGGTGCGAAACAGTTTTTGTCGGCTCCATCTTGCCTCTTGTGATTAAAGAGGTTTTCCTTGAACTTCCTGCAGGACGGTCTCGCACATGAAATGCTCTCGGGGTCACGAATTGCACTTGACACATTTGCCATGCGCTCGCAAACACCGATGCACAGTTTCTTGGTCCCACTCAGCTTTGCTGCTATGATTTTAAGCAAGGAAACCAGAAGGATGTATTGCACCCTTAGTGCAAATCAGATGCATGTCGTGAACATAACGGAAAGGCAGAAAAAACATGAAGGCGATAGCATGTGATAGCCAGTAAGATCAGTAAGTCTAGTCTTCCGTCATTTTCCATCACTACTTGTCAACCGTACAATCAGAGTGGAGAAAGGTTGATCCTTGTTTGGGCTGCATGTGCTGAGGTTTGTCATGAGGTGATTCCAAGATCCGCAAGACGGCCCTTCGTTTTTAATTGCTTTGCGTGTGTGTTCTGTGTGCTGCCATTGTCATATGTTGTCATGGGAGTAGCGCATGCTGTCACACGTCGCAAAGAGGTGTGAAGGGTGTCAAGGCATGCATTGTGCAATGTCATCGTAAAAAGCATGCCAGACAGACAAATCTTGCTAGACCCAGAACATCTTGAAAGGTTTATGTGCCGAAGATGCAGCTACGACGTCTGCTTCGACTGTGGTATGCATGACAACTGCCTGATTGATCGTTCCAAAGACTCGACTCTTTGCGCAAGATGACTCCGTGAATGACGGATGTGGGTTTTCAAATGGCCGATTCGGGTGATACAGTAAAACGCATCACCTGTACCGTACAATACTGTACATGTATATAACAATTTGTGTGTGTGTGTGTGCGTCCGCCTGGTCCGTTCTGTACGTAAGAACTAGTCTTGGACTGGTTCTTGTAAATTGGTAGTTCCGGTAGTTCCCTTCAGATTCTGTTTGCCTTTTCCTACGAGACTTGCAGGCAGCACAGCATAGTATCGCACGGTTGGCCAGTTTGCCTCCAATAAGGCAGAAGACGTTGCGGTCAGTTTTCAAGGAGTATGCGATTGGACATCATCGGAGTCATTTGACAGCATAGCGGCATAGCAATTGCCGCAAACTGATCCGCTTTTCTTTTGCTGCAAATTGTTGCTACAGGTTGTTGCTACATGTTTTCGATGTTTTGCTGCGAAACTCTGTGAAACATTGTGAAACACAGACCGAGGTGTTGCTATCAGCACCTCGTACGACATTATCTCGCCAAGCGATGGTCACATGCGACGGCACCAGCATAAAAGGCGGCTCAAAGCTGCGGGAACACCTAGTCACGAAAGTCAGGAACATGGCAATGACGAACACGTCAGGATTACGTAATATTGTATGTATGTATATATATATATATATATATGTGTGTGTGTGAAGAAAGATATTACTATATGGATGAACATTCTCAGCAAGTGATGGACATCACCGACACCTCGCCTCTTTGCAGTCACAAGTTATGGATTTATTGCAACGTGTTCTGTGAGCATTCCTGCTTTGCTTGAAGAATGATGAAATTGAGCAGGCTAGAGCTGCATACAAAAGCAGACTGTCAGACGACCGTTACAGCTCAGCTTGCATGCTGCAGCTTAAGTAGAGTTATTGACAGTAGCCTGCTCCATCAAAAGTGGGTCATTGAAACTACCTGGGACAGATGGGGGCAGATTGAAATAAGTTGCAAAATGCTTTTTGAATCTTTCTGGGGAGAGAAGCTGATCGCCTATGGGAACTACAGCCCAATTGTATTGCGATCTCAGCATGGATGCATCCTGGCCTCCCTTCAGAAACTGGTGGGCGGCCGCATGCGCGCGCGCGTAAAGACATACGCACTACACACTTGCACGTTTTTTTGGGGGTCTTCAGTGGGAGAAGGCTTGTAGGTGCAGTAACAGTATAAGGATGCGTTTGGACACCTTGGACCTGTGCTTGCTTCGCGCAGGGGTCTTGGTGTTGGTGAGGACTGCAGATATGCTGCCTGGAGCCCAGAATTATCATTTTCGAGGAGAAACTGAAAAACAGAAGGTGGTAGGTTGGGCAAAAGGAGAAAGGATCGGTGCCAAAGAGGTCCATCAGGCAAGAGGATGGCGATACAATGGTTAGAAGAGGAGGTGCTACTCGAAGAAGGGCTTACAATTACAACATGGATCAATATGGCATATCTCACTTAACCGAAAAATGTCAAACAAGACCATTCAAGTTGAGAGGCAGACACGGCATAGCATGGCAGTGGCCCAGGCCAGGCAAATGCAAAATCCATCAACATGTCATCTCGGCGTCAATCAGTAGATGTATCATGATATTTCTCAAAAACATGTTTGAATAGAAACATGAAAAAATGACGAAACAAAAAATGAAATATATATTATATATAAACACCACACGGCTGCAATTGCTTGCTCAGAATGCCAGAAAGAGCCGGGATAAAACCTTGCTGCAATGCATGCTGCATACATTGCAATGAATTGCCTTGCGTTGCAATACACTATGCCCCACTGCACAACATTACATTACATTATATACATTCCACTGCATTGATTTGCATTGCATTGCACTCCATTGCATTACATTGCATTACATTGCATTACGTTGCATTACATTGCATTACGTTGCATTACATCGCATTACATCACATTATATTGCATTACATTGCGTTACAGACATGCACACATGGATGGATGTTTTTCATTATGCTACATGTCAATGTGTGTATGTATATTTATACAAATTAATATTTAAGGGCTGCCGCCCCTGCCGCCGACCCCGGAAGAATTGGCAAGCCGTCAGAACGTATATATGGTACAGGCCTGCACCCCCCCCCAAAAAAATGGGGAAAGGATGTTCCTGGGACAGTTTTACACGCATTGTTGCCTGTTATGGTTTTTATGTTAAAGGGGAACGTGCGTTCCTTGGTGTTGATGTTTTTTGTGATGTATGTTGTAAGACATTTTTGGTAAAAACGTTTCATCCTAACCTTGTTGATTATTTTAGGGGAGTATCATTGATTGGGTCAGGATTTGTTGAGGTTGTTAGGGTTTTAAAGTTTTCATTTATTCAACTAAGATTTGAAAAGAAGGGAATGTATCATTAAGATTGTCTATTATTTCTTGATGACTTAACGGTTCTGTCACTTCTTCATTGTTTGATTGTTTTTGTGTTTTTCCATTATCTTTTTGTTTTTAACCGGAATTGTTGGTTTGTGCTCATGGTTTTTTCTTTCCATTTCTTTTTAGGATGGTGTGTCTGACCACCCTTGCGTGAGTCGTAGGCTTCGCAAGGAAAAAGGCACATCGTAATAATTGGGTTTGTGAAATGGAAAGGAAAAAACATGGGCCCAAGTCAGCAGCATCAGCAGCATCATTAGCTTCAGCATCAGAATATATATATATTGTTATCACTGTTACAATTAAATTATTATCAGTATTTAGTAGATGAATTTGGTGAAAACATGGGGGGTTTTGATCTTGTGATCGTCCTGGTGGTAGCTACAGGCAAAAAGAATTTAAGGTACTGTATCACATCATCCTATTTGAGTTGGCATGTTTGTTAACTTACCCATTTTTCAGGTTCAGCATGGGGTTCATCCCGGTATGGTGTTGGTGCATCCCAGCTCGTAGCAGCAGTGTTTCCCATGGTTTTGCAGCGCTTGTCTTGGCGATGGACTGCTTCGCCCTCTACTCGAAGGAGGGCCGGGTGAGCGGTGGATTTTGAACGGCAAGATGTGTGATTTTTTGCGAAGCAAAATGGGGAATAAACAGAGATACGATGATCTGGTTGGTGCGTTGGAACATGAATTTTATTTTCCATATATTGGGAATTTTACAACCCCAACTGACGAAGTCATATTTTTCAGAGGGGTAGGTATACTACCAACCAGTGATATTTAATGGCATATATCCAATGGAACAAAACATCTATAACAGGGGGATGTTCAATTGCCACTATCTACAAAGACTCGCCCATAGGATCGATGTATGGTATACAGTATATGCTAACATTTGGGGTATATTGATGGCAAATGTTACCATATATAGCATACATGGATCTTATGGGTTTCAAATACTATCAAAATATTTGTATCATAGTTGAGAATCCGCGTAGTTTGCATAGATGGTGATTATCCAGTTCGCAAACATTCCGCTGAGTCTGGGGGTTTTTCCACACGTAGTCCCCTCACACGTCGAGATGGAAGACAGAGTCATCTTTTTGGACCAGTACACCAGCTTGTATGTTTCACATAGAAAACACCAATGAAACATGTGTGTATAGATATATATATATATATAGAGAGAGAGAGACATTTCTTCATCGCTGCAAAATGTGGATTGAATTTGGCCACATTTTAGTAGGAAACATTATGATATATGATTAAAAACTTTGGATTTTCGATTTTTCCTTATCATTTTCAGGTTCACCGACAGTTGGCTTGAGATCTTGGGCAGGCTCCACGACTTAAAACGCCGACTTCAGGGCCGAAGACCTCCGAGGCGCTGGCGTCTGACAAATAGTTATTGCGGTGAAAATTATATTATAATGTTTTTTCTCGAAC